GACAAGAACAAACTGGGAGGAGGGTAGAGAGAATAGTGCAACAATGAATGAGTGGAAGCCCAAAATCTCTGTAAATGTTTATGAAAATTAATAAAATATAGAAAAAAAAGATGTACAGCCTGGGAAGCCTGATATAGGGTTATTAAGAGTCAAATTGACTAAACAGTTATGCATTTCAGTAATCTTTTACAATCTCACCACTGATGATGGAATCATTGATCCACATGCTACTTCCAATCACAAAAATTGAGGGTTTTTCCCAATCATTCTATCATTTATATAAAACTCTTGGGCAGAAAAGACTATAAAGCAGCAGAAAGATTTTTAGTAGAAAAGATTTCTTAAAATACTACTCTAAAGCAAACTTTCAAAATGACAACACTGTCATTCTGTTCCATTTAGAGATACTTTTGCTCATTATTTCCCTCAGGTATGTTAAATACTGGCCAAATTGTACTAGTCACTGTGGGTTTCTGCTCTTCTGAATGGAATGCATGGCTCTTAATTTCAGTTAATCTAAGAGTCAATAGGAACAAACTTAAAATCTCAGCCATCTTAATGATTTTATGAAATAAAGATAATAATAAATGGCTGAGGTCAGTGAAGTTTATAAAAAGCAAATGAAGTCTACACAAAAGTTAACTGTTTTTCCTGAAGGTGCACATTTTGAATCCACTAGATGCTCCACTGGCGAAGGAGGGGCAATGTCCTCCTGTACCAGTCAGTTCAGACTCAACAGTACACAACGAGGAAAAAAAATTAACTATTTTCAATACTGTTAGTAGGTGGCATAATACAGTAGTTTATTGTACTACTCACCAAAAGGTCAGTGGTGCAAATCCACGAGCTGGTATGAGGAAGACAGATAGGCAGGCAGTCTCCTCTCGTTAAAGATGCACAGCTTTGGAAATCCAGTGGAGGCTTGGTATGAGTCAGAACAGACTCGACAGCTGTGGTTTAGTGCTGCAACTAGTTAACAACTTGGCTGCTTACCAAAAGGTGCTCCAGAAGAAAGGTCTAGTCTTACTTCCAAAAATTCAGTCATTGAACACCATAGAGAAGACTTAAGGGAGAGCTGGCTGGACATCCACTCTGTTTTCTTCTGGCGTGGTGTTGTTGAGCACAGCTCAACATGACCCACAGCTGACCCTCCAGCAGGTTTTCCTAGGCAGTTAATCACACAGGAGGAGACCGCCCATCTTTCACCCGGAGAGCAGCTGGTGGGTTCAAACCACGGGCCTTTCGGATTGCAGAGCAGCTGCTTAGCACTGCTGTTGTTGTTAAGTGCCCTTGAGTCATATGTGACTCATAGCGACCCTATGAACGTTCTGGGCATCTATATAACTTTTATCCTTTCTCCAGGTTTATAGGGTTTCCAGAGGCAAGCTATTATGGAAGTGGATGCCACTCCTGCTTCCAAGCTTGTTTTAATCGGGGAGCTCCACCAAACACTGTCTGTCTGCTATGGGTAACCATTCTTCCATTTGACTCATCATTGTTACACAATGTTGGGCTTCACAGCAACCACGAGTTACCTCTGTATAGCAAGTGGACATACCAGGGTTACACAACCAAGAATGTTCCACCAAAAACAATTAAAGCCTGAGGGCCATCGAGTAGAGACACCCACCTTTGGCTCGGGAGCATGACTTTCTATCCGCTAGGCCAACTGCTCTCCCTCGCTATGCTGTTGTTGATGATGGTTTTGTTAAAGTCCCTTCGACTCCTAGGCGACTCTTAGCACTACTCCAACCTATATACCAGAGGAATTTTGTGGAATGAATGAACATGCTATGCCTGCAGCCAGCTTAGTTAAACTACACCTAGTTGAGGGAGATCTGGTCTCCTAGTGGCAAGAAGCTGCACTGCAATGCCCAAGGTGCATGATTCAAATTCACCAGAGGAGATTTCCCCTTCCTGGAGGAGGGGAAATCTCCTCCCGTGCCAATCAGATCTGATTCGACTGTACACAACAAAGAGTTGATTTTTCAGGTCCTGTTTTCTTAACAAGACTGAGCCTCTCAAAGGTAAAATGCATAATTCTTTGCTGGAAAATGCTTAACAAGAATAGTAACAGAAAAAAAAAAATTATACCATATCTAACACAAATGGTAACTTTGAAACATTCCCAATTTGTACATGCAATGAACTGTATCTTGAGCAGATGATTCAACTTTTTAGATTTTAATGAAAGTTTATAGAGAACTTGGACTTCCATTCATTCATTTTTGCATTTTCCTCCCTGACCCCCCTCCCCTCAAGTTTGCTTTTTTCTTTGTAAAAGCTTTTTCATTGTTATACAGTCGTTCCCCCCCCCCTTTACTATGCAACTCTTATTATGGACTCTTGTCATGCTAATAATACCTAATCATATGTTCCCTTTACATAGTTCTCTCTTTTGTCTGTTTTCAATGCCATGTACATTATTTATCCCCTTTTCTTAGTTTCCCCCTCCCATATCAGTCCTATTTTAGAACAGTGGCATTACACAATATATGTGGTTTTGTGATTGAGATAATTTTACTCAGCATAATGTCCTCCACGGTCACCTATTTTGTATAATAGTTCATTAGTTGTTTTTTCAATGCTGCATAATATTCCATTGTGTGAATATACCACAGCTTCTCTATCCATTCGTTTGTTGATGGGCACTTGGGCTGTTTCCAACTCTTTGCTCTTGCGAACAAAGCTGCAATAAACATAAGCGTGCATATATCTGCTTGGGTGGCACTTGTAGTTTCTTTAGGGTATGATTCAACATTTTTTATAATCAGATGGAAACCTTAAGTGATATGTTAACATTGATCACCAAAGTTCAACAAAAGTGCTGAGGGTGAAAAATACGGGGACTGGTGAGTAATACAGTCACAATTTCTGTTTTTCAACTTTAAGTCAGATATTTATTCATTCTAAAAAATCTCAAAACTAATGGTTCTAGAACCAGATTAACAGTAGTGGTAAATGTTATTTGGATTTGCACGATGTTACCTATTTTACACTTAGATGTCTGAAGGAAGTAGTAACATGAAAATCTCCATGCCTGGTTGGTTAATTTCTTTTCAAAGTGCTGCGGCTGTGTAATTGACAAAATTTCTGTGCGGAGACATGAAGTGACTGGCCCTCGTTCCAACAATTGTAAACTCTAAGGATTAAAACCTTACTTACCCCTGAGATTTGTGCGACTATTAAAATAAGTAAATGGTGTAGCACAGTTCCTGGAACATACTAGCTACGTATTTTGGTTCCCCCGTGCTTCTCCAGAGCAAGATGAAAAGCCGGGGAACCATATGCGAAAATGCCCACCTACTGGTCTGATTATACTGTGGGAAAAGTTTGCTGTTAATGGCAAGTATTTGCATTAACCCACCACTGGGCATTAGAAAAGGTTCAAAGCTGACAGAGACAAGACTCTTTAAGCTGGACCTGTTGATTCACCGCTGTGGGTGCAAACTCGCCTTGACAAGTTCACACTGAACGTGTCCATTAAGAGAACAAGTTGGAGGGGACAGCTCAGGACGTCGCCGCTCGCCGAGGGACCGGACAGTGGAGGCGCGCAGAGCGGTGGCTCGGCCGCGTCTACTCCGGGGGGCGACGCGACAGCCACGGAACCGTGGCGGAACAAGTCCCACTTCTTCCTAAAAGCCATGGCTTTGGCCAGGATCGCCCAGATGCATTATAGGACCGATGTGGCAGCGGCCGCCGCCTACTCTCGACGAGCCGATCATTGCACCCCCGGCTTCATCCAGCCCCTGCCGGGTCCAGGTTCGGGGCCCACACTCGAAGCTCGAAGGAGTAAAAGCAACAGAGAGGAGAAACCTAAGCACGGCGACAAATAAACCACCAGCAGCCTGGCCTCCTCCTCCACTTCCTTCCATGGTTCCCCCGCTTCCGGGTCAAGCCGCGCGCTCTGACTTCCGCTTCCGCTCCCTTGAAGAGTCCGCCTTGCGCATGAGTACTTCCTTTATTCCTCCCCGGCCATTTTGTCGGCAGCTCTAGGTGAGTGGCTCCCGGGAGCAGTGGCTCAGAGGACCTTCCACGGTGTCCCCCGAGACTCCGGAGCCTCAGTTTCCTGTCTTGTCTCCTCTTCTAGGTGGAGGGCCGGCAGGCACCCAAGGCGAAAAGATGGTGGCTGCGAAAAAGACGGTGAGTGCGGGGACCACCGGGCCGGGCGTGGGCTCACGTGGAGGGATGCGGCCCGGCCGGGGCGGGCAGACGCGGGTTCGCGGGGGGACAGCACGCCCACTGGCGTCTCCCGGGCCCCGCTCGAGCCGGGGTGGCGGCCATGAGTGCGGGCTCGCCCGTGAGCTGCCGAAAGAACAAGCGGGTCGGAGTGGGAGGCAAAGCTGAGGATGACTTGCCATCACGTTCCTCTGACATTCTGGGCGTGTTAGGAGAAACTAATGGGGAAAGGCCCTCATGCTCGGAAGTGGGGGGGTCATCGGTGAATGTGGGGGTGTTTGCGGCGCTGGGCTCCGCGGGGAATGATGAAGCAGAGGCCGGAGTTCACATCTGTTGTTCCTGGGCTCGTCGTGAGTCGTCCTCGCGTCCACAGCAACGAGAGGGAGCCCAGCGTTAGACTTTGTCACTGACGTGGGGCTTCTGAGAAGTCTGTCTGCAGGGGCTCAGGCTTCCAGGAAAGCTGAATGCAGATGAGGCCCTCAAGACCGTGTTAAATGTTCCCTTTGTAGAAAAAGTCCCTGGAGTCGATCAACTCGAGGCTCCAGCTTGTTATGAAAAGCGGGAAATATGTGCTGGGGTACAAGCAGACTCTGAAGATGATCAGGCAAGGAAAAGCCAAGCTGGTCATCCTCGCCAACAACTGCCCAGCCTTGAGGTAAGTGGAGGATCCTTCCCTCCGTGCCCGCCTTGCAGCCCACTTCACTGTGAGCGAGTGTGGGAAGCACACACTTGTCCCCCGGCCGTGCGGCTCAGTGGTCAGGAGCTGCTCTGCCATCATCCTCACTGCACTGCTGGAATCCACCAGTTACTCTTTGGGAGAAAATCAGCCGTCTTCTCCCAGGCAGTTAATTGCTTCTGAACACCGGCTGGAGGCCCAGCTCTGAGGCTTTTCTAACTCCACTGTACACAACGCCAGCATCAAGTCTGTCTAGTAAAAGATTGTTCCCTGTGAGCATTTGCAGAGTAATTTTTGTAGTACACTACAGTTGCTTTCATGATGTTTGGGCTTTGACCTGCCTCTTCTTGTGGCAAAGGGTCAGAACTTCTGCATATAATGCTTTTCTGTTTACTTTGTATCATATTTTGGGAGTATAGGGTTTTTTCTTTTGTTTTTTTAAACTTGCCCAATTCATCAAGGTGTATCATTGTAGGAAATTCCTTTAGCATTGTGAAGCTAGCTAAAAGTTCAGTCTAGGATTTGACAAACTGGAGAAGCAGACTGTCTTAGAATCACTTAGTTGTGATTCTCAGTGCTTTGTTTTGTTGGTGTGGTTTTTTGTTGTTGTTGTTTTTTTCTTTTCTTTTTTCTTTTTTTTGTGCATGTACCGTCAAATCAGATCTGACTGGCCCAGGAGGAGATTGTCCCTCCTTCAGCAGAGCATCTGGTGGATTTGAACCATGCACCTCTGAGATTGCAGTGCAGCTTCTTGCCACTAGGCCACCAGAGCTCCCATGATTCTCAGTGTATTAATTGGCTGAACCTAGACTTATGCTTTTCTCACTGGAAGCCAGTGGGCGTTGTGTAAATAAGCTAATGAGACTTAGATCTTGTAGGATGTAAGGATATGTTTTTCTTCTGGTAACACATAGGGTGATTGTGCTTAAGTAGCAGAATCTCAAGTTCTCTTTAATAGCAGTGCTTCTTAAAAGGGCATGTGAACTTGGTTTCGTTAACATGCAGGCTCTGATTCACTGAGTCTGGACTTTGGCATGCATTTCTAACAACCCCCCTTGGTAACAGCATTGTTGGTCTCTGGATTTGGCAGAGTTCTTATAGGGCTTTTAAAAAATTCAGTTGACACAGAACTGCCTTCCCCCCCAAAAAAAAATCTGGGTTCAGAGCAGCAAAGGGTGATAGAAATAGCTAAAGTCTTGAGTGGTTCTACTTAATATACTGAGTCCAGATTTCTTATTTTAAGAAAAGTAGAGAATATGATAGATACTTTACAGTGTCAGGGAGCCTGCTGAGACAGTGAGTGGTTCAACAAGCTTGACTGCTACTTGCCAGTTCAAAACTGCCAATCTCATTTTGCTGGAGAAAGAACTGCAGCCTTGGAATCCCAGTGGGGCAGTTCTTAGTACCTGTCCTATTGAGTCACAGAGTAGGAAACTGACTCTAGGTTGTCAAAGATGTTTAGTACCTGTCATACAGATAACTACTTTTCCTTTTTTCTGTCATTTTGCAACCTATTCTCTTTTTTCCAAAAGTGTAGATAGTGTTTTAAACATAGTAGGTGTTCTGTTTGCCAAGAAACAAAGGACCTGAATCTTCTACAGGACTCAAGAAAATGTTGCCATTTATTGGTTAATGAGGGCGTGTAGTTCTGTTTGAAAGGCCTTTCCAGCATTAAAACTAGGTAGAAAGTAATGTTTTGTTTGGTATTTGATATGCATTAATTTATTTCTTCTTTTGTTAATTCTCAAAGGAAATCTGAAATAGAGTACTATGCGATGTTGGCCAAAACTGGTGTCCATCACTACAGTGGCAATAATATTGAACTGGGCACAGCATGCGGAAA